TGCCCCTTTTTCTTTTAGCAGATGCTGTGTTGGCTTTTAGTGCTTTAGCTTTGTCAGATCCTTGGTGGAAATAGAACTTTATTTCTCTCTGTTTATTTAAAGCTAAATTTGTCATTGTCATCAGAATACTGGTTAGCCAAGATCCGTGTTCTGTAAACCCACGTCGCCGGACATGAATTCTATTGTTCTCCCTTAATTCTTCTTTAATAGAGTCTTCTGTCATCTGTTCTGTGATTTTGTCCCTGATCAATATGAGGTGGAGAGGCCAGTAATTACCTGGTCATCCCATTTAGCCTTGCAAAATTTGTGGTTTGCTGTTTTCATTGGATTTTCTGGACCCCTTCAAACACACGAATGTGTCACGAAAATGAGCGTGAGTTTGAAACCGTCGTGATTTTCTGATGGAGCAAAGTGTTCACATTGCAGCATCCATCTTAATTCAGGATAGAGGAGGATGTGAAATACCTTTTACAGCTTTTAATTGATGGAATAGAGCTTATTGAGAGCTCAGGACTCAGATCTAAAGCCTCGCAATAGGTACAAATAATGAATGAATTTCGCTGTCGTCCTGTGGCCAGGCATGATTTATTGCTCAAGCTTTGTTCCTAGGTCAGTCTTGAGCCTGATAAGACATAACAACTTAGGGAACTTCACGTGGGGCTCAGTAAAGAATAAAAACGTGGATCTGGAGAGTCACAGTGAGTGGAAACAGCAGTTGGACACAAGGAGATTCTTTCTTGCCCTGTTGCGGTTGAAAAAGGCCGCGTAGTGCAAGCTGTGATCACATCAACGTGAGAGATGGTCTCCACGTGCTCATAAGACCTTTAGAAATTTGAGAATTTAATTAAGCCCCATAACCCATAAATATCTTTTTTTTCTTCTTTTTTTAACGGAACACTTTATATTAATTTTCATTTACAAAGAGTGCTTTGTCATCTTGGTTTACGTAGGGCTTTATCGGTTTGACATTGATGTAAATATTCTCCCTGGATGGCAGAATTCAACTGCTGAGCAGAAAGTCAAAAGTCCTTGTTAGAGATGAATGGGATGTTGCAAACTTCCCACTCGCTCATAAATCTTCCTCTACGTCCACGTGATTAATGGCTAACAAGGGTTTTGATTGATGGCTTAGCAACTGCTAATCAGGTGTTACGGGACCAAATCATGAAATCCCTTCCTTCGTTGGTTGAGGCAAGCTCCTCTTCGCTTAGATAGGCAGGAAAAGGGCTGGCTTTTCCTTTCTTTTAAGTGGAATTTAAAGTTTTAGCTTGCTGTGGTTTTTAATAAGTGCGCGGCTGGGCCACAGCTTCTAACATTGAAATATGATGCTTATTAAAATCCTCTACTGGGATTATGAAAGCGGAACAACTGGATGACTTGAACTGTCTGGATGCACAAGTCTGATGAGGAGAGGCTGAGGGAGCTGGGGGTGTTCAGCCTGGAGAAGAGGAGGCTGAGGGGAGACCTTATTGCTCTCTACAACTCCCTGAAAGGAGGGTGTAGAGAGGCGGGGGTCGGTCTCTTCTCCCAAGTCACAGGCGACAGGACGAGAGGAAATGGCCTCAAGTTGCGCCAGGGGAGGTTCAGGCTGGATATTAGGAAAAATTTTTTCACTGAAAGGAGTATTAAGCCTTGGTACGGGCTGCCCAGGGAGGTGGTTGAGGCACCATCCCTGGAGGTGTTCAAAAGACGGGTTGATGTAGTGCTGGGAGGTATGGTTTAGTGATGGTGATGCTCCTTGTTTGTTGTGTGGGTGTCTATTTTTGTCAGTTAGGTTGACGGTTGGACAAGATGATCTTTAAGGTCCCTTCCAACCTAGAAGATTCTGTGATTCTGTGATGTAGGGAATAAATTGAGGCCAACGGCGTTGGGCGAAGGCGATGCGTTGCCCAACGCGATGAGGAACGAAACCTTCAGGCTATTTTTTGAGACAAGCACTGGCAAGATTTTCACTGGCCCACGTTAGGGAATAAATTGAGGCCAACGGTGTTGGGTGAAGGCTGTGCGTTGCCCAACGTGATGAGAAACGAAACCTTCAGGCTATTTTTTGAGACGAGCACTGGCAAGATTTTCACTGGCCCACGTGTTAATCACATTGCTTAAAAATGATAAGGGTTTTAATCCTCGTGCTGCGGTTACGAGCCAAATGTCCTGCACGTTGAAGATCTCTCCTGTCTTGACTTCTCTCCCGCTTGGCCGTTACTGTAACTGTTCGGCCGTGATTACGCTTTAATTCTTTAATTACTGCTTTCTGATGAATTTGTGTAAGTGTTGAGTCCAGGGCACTGGAGCACAAAGAGCTTTGATCCATCTCGCGCGGTTTCTGCTACGCCTGGATTTTATAACTTAAAGATGAACGTTGAGAATAGTTAGCAAAACCAGCTAGTTTGACTTCTTTTACAGCTTTTTATTTTTCAGAGCTTTGTGTCTTACCATCCTGCCCTGCTTTGTGAGTCATACCATAAATTAACAATTTTCTCCTTTTTTTTTTTTTCCCCTATTCTGTGGCGTTTCCCTGACAGCTCTGAACATCTTAACCACAAACTCATCTTTTATTTCTCTACTTCGCTTTTCAACCAACAGGGATAATTCATTATGTTCCTTGCTCAAACCTCCATTGGTTTATTGTAATCTTGGAGCCAAATGCTATTACGACACGCGTTACATTTCCTGGCCCTGGATATCAAGTGACACCAGAGTCACAGAATCCATTAGAAATAGGTTTCATCCATAACGGGAGAACAAATTGCTAAGTGTTTTCCCTTTTTTTTTTTTTTTTCTTTAAATTTGATTAAGTTTGAGGGGTTTAATTACATTTTGGTGGCGATTTTAGAGTTGTTAAGTAGAGAAGATGAAATGCAAATAAGCGAATACAAACGGATTTGGTAAATTACTGTTAAAAATCAACGCAGTGATTATTTTGACTCTTAACAATACACAGGCGTTTTAACAGCTTGTGCTCAGGTAAAGTTTTAATTGAGATGTTTTGGGAGTTGAAGTTTCTTTGTGTATTATTTTTTTTTTCCCAAGCTATCCCTGATTTGTTTCTAATTAGGGGCACGATACTATTTGCCTATTTATTTATTCCTATGTAATTTGTTTAAACTTGGGCAGCACAGCACTGATGTATTCCTTTCATTACAGACAGCTCTCTTTGATGGGCTTTGACTGGCTAATTATTAAAATGGAACACATTACTAATAGCCTCCGAGGAGGTAGAGTTTTCTGAAAATAAATAAGAGATTTTCTGAATGCACTGACAAAAGTTAATTTTTAAGGGGTTTCTTTCCATCTTCAGACACGAGGAAATGAAAAGCGAATGATTTGGAATTTGTTTCTGCTTTTGTAACACGGAGTTGCTTAAATAGCAAATATTGGGCATCTAATATCAGGCCACCACTCGGGGCTGTGAGGGTTTCACAAAGGGGACCCAGTTCTCAGAAAGGGACCCCCCAACCCTTTACTGGGAGGTATACTGGGATAGAGGAAAATCAATCCTAAACTTCATTGGCAGAATGGACAACTGTGGGAATTCATATTTTGAATGGTAAAAGAAGCATGTTTGCTTTGGGAGCTCTTCAAGGACAATTTTTGCAGCATTGCCAGCAGGAATGTTTTATATTTCTACGTATATAGAAATATATAGGCCTACATACACATATATAAAATACGCTTTAGCAATATTGAGCTGCTCAGTTACGAACCTTTATGTTTTTAAGGGCTGTGGTATGTAATCAGTCACAGAATCACAGAATCATCTAGGCTGGAAGAGACCCTCGGGATCATCAAGTCCAGCCATCCACCCTACTCTAAAGTTCTCCCCTACACCATATCCCCCAACACCACATCTAAACGGTTCTTAAACACAGCCAGGGATGGTGACTCACCCACCTCCCTGGGCAGCCTATTCCAATGCCCAACCACTCTCTCTGTGAAGAATTGTTTCCTAATGTCCAGTCTAAACCTACCCTGGTGCAACTTGAACCCATTACCCCTTGTCCTGTCATCTGTAACTTGGGAGAAGAGACCGACCCCCACCTCTCTACACCCTCCTTTCAGGGAGTTGTAGAGAGCAATAAGGTCTCCCCTCAGTCTCCTCTTCCCCAGACTGAACACCCCCAGCTCCCTCAGCCTCTCCTCATAAGACTTACTCTCCAGACCCCTCACAAGCTTCATTGCCCTTCTCTGGACCCGCTCCAGCACCTCAATGTCTTTCTTGTGGTGGGGGGCCCAAAACTGGACACAGTACTCGAGGTGGGGCCTCACCAGTGCCCAGTACAGGGGGACAATCACCTCTCGGGTCCTACTCACCACACTGTTCCTGATACAGGCCAGGCTGCTCGTGGCCTTCTTGGCCACCTGAGCACACCGCTGCCTCATGTTCAACCGACAGTTGACCAACACTCCCAGGTCCTTCTCTGCCAGGCAGCTCTCCGGGCCATTCTTCCCCCAGCCTGTAGCACTGCCTGTAAGGGCCATCCAACAGCCCACCCACCATCTGGAATGGGCTGCCCAGGGAGGTGGTTGAGGCACCATCCCTGGAGGTGTTCAAAAGACGGGTTGATGTAGTGCTGGGAGGGCTGGTTTAGTGATGATGCTCCTTGTTTGTTGTGCGGGTGTCTATTTTTGTCAGTCGGGGTGACAGTTGGACAAGATGATCTTTGAGGTCCCTTCCAACCTAGAAGATTCTGTGATTCTGTGATCTCCCTGTTGCTGCTCGCATCAGTTTGGGGAGGAGTGGGGGCTTCTGGCAGGATACCTTTGGTACCCTCAGGGTTTTGTAGCAGATTGAGTTGGTCAAATAATGTAAAACGAGCTTTTTCCCAAATTAGTGACAGTGGTGTATAAATCACCAGGGTTACATTTCGGTTAATAAGGATTTTTGGGATTTTCAGTAGTTTTCCAGTCTTGTAGAGTACCTAAAGATCCTAGATGTTCAAATTATGTTATAATGCTATGTTTTATTCTGAATACTGAGTTCCCCTTCTGTGTTTTGGCAGATGCTGCTGACGGAGTACCTGGATATGAAGAACACCCGCACCGCCTCAGAGCCGTCCGCCCAGCTGAGCTACGCCAGCTCCGGCAGAGAATTCGCCGCCTTCTTCGCAAAGAAGAAACCACAAAGACCCAAAAACCCTTTGTTCAAGTGAGTGCTGGGATGGGTGTTAAAGCTCTGCCTGAGCTGTCTTTTTTTGGTGCCTTGGGTATTGCACGACGTGTGAGTCTTGGGATGGAGGTTTAATACCCAGAGCTGGAGCCTCGGTGAGATCTCTCTTACGGATTCATCGCTGGTTTTTTAAGTGTATAAAGCTCTTTCCAGGGCTCGTCTTGGGACTGGGATCCCATTATTCCTGCCTTTGTCCATGGTAAATTCAGAACCTGTTAAAGGGTGCGATAAAGGAGACTGGACAAAGAGAATTAAGATAAGTGTATAATTACCAGATGGACTAAGCGGTTAATCCTATCACTAACTCCTTTAATTCAGAGTTCAGAATGGAAAGAATTAAGTGGTTGGGAGGAGAGTGTAAGAGAGAGGCTGAGATGCTCGGTGACCAAGGATTTGGGGGAACAAATTGGATGTGCAAGAACAAGAATTGGGGAGGAGTTCTTGGTGAGCAGCACTGCTAGGAGAGGAGAGATACTCTTGTTACTGCACCTAGATTCAGGGAAGCTGAGCTGAATTTTCACCTCTTCCCACGACTACATGTGCTGATCTTTGGCTTCTTGAGGTTTTTGGGGGATACCAAGAGCTGCTGGTTTGGCAGCAGATGCTCCAAGTTCAAAGATCACAGCTCCAAGTTCAAAGCTAACCTGACCTTCCTCAGGTCTACCAGCATAACTCAGTGTGTGGCTGCTCCCTGACTCAGTACTCCCAAAATAATCTCTTAAATGAGAGGTTCTTTTAACAATGAGATTGTTTGAAAACAGTTGGTGATGGAACGAGCAAGTTTCGTGGTAGATTCGAGGGGATGGAGGAGTGGAGCAGTGGTGGGGAGTGAAAGCAGCTCGAGGCATTAACCTTTGAACTGTGCTCAGCTGCAGCAGGAGCAGGGGATCTGGGGGGTCCTCAGCACCCCTCTGGATGAGAAGCTGCTGCAGGGCTTGGGCTGTCTTTTTCTACCCATCTGAGCGGTGCTGAGCTTTGTGAGGCTTTGCTCTCCAGAGTCAAGAGAGTCCAAGGTTAAAAAACAATATATCTAGTGGAATATTTGCTGGAGAGAGAGAATTGGAAGTGAGTTGGTGTTTTCACCCCTTACTTGCTAGAGCCTTGAAGCCTGGGTGTTTTGGTTTTTAATAAAGAACCCCTCGTTTGTGATTGGAGACAGATCCTTATATGGTGGGAAATAATGCAGGAATCACAGAATGGTTTGGGTTGGAAGGAACCTTAAAGATCAACCAACCCCCTGCCCTGGACAGGGACACCTCCCACCAGACCAGGTTGATCAAAGCCCATCCAACCTGGCCTTGAACCCCTCCAGGGACGGGGCAGCCACAGCTTCTCTGGGCAACTTGGGCCAGGCTCTCACCACCCTCACAGCAAAGAAGTTCTTCTTGAGATCTCATCTAAATCTCCCCTCTTTCAGTTGGCTCACGTTGAACTTCTCATCCACCAACACCCCCAAGTCCTTCCCCTCAGGGCTGCTCTCCAGCCATTCTCCGTCCAGCCTGGATCTGTGCTGGGATTGCTGTGACCCATGTGCAGGACCTTGCCCTTGGCCTGGTTGAACCTCATCAGTTTCACGTGGACCCACTTCTCCAGCCTGTCCAGGTCCCTCTGGATGGCATCCCTTCCCTCCAGCGTGTTGACCACACCACACAGTGATGTGTGTGAGCTACAGTAATGGGAAAGAGTGAGAATAATTGGTTGTTTCAGGCAAACAGGAGGGGAGTTTTGTGTTCTGCATCCTCTTTACAGATCGTTTGCTGGTTGGTTGGAATTTTTGGGGGTTTTTTTTAGCTAGACCTTATTTCTTGTCCCTGTGCTTTGCCCCATGGACATGTGTAGCTGGTGGGTCTCATAGTACCTCAGTTGGGTGTGGGAGTTTTCTGCACTGCCGTCTCTCTATCTCACAGGATGAGTTGTCTGCGCAATCTTCTGCTATTATAGAATCATAGAATCACAGAATGGTTTGGGTTGGAAGGAACCTCAAAGATCATCGAGTTCCAACCCCCCTGCCCTGGGCAGGGACACCTCCCACCAGACCAGGTTGCTCAAAGCCCCATCCAGCCTGGCCTTGAACCCCTCCAGGGATGGGGCATCCACAACTTCCCTGGGCAACCTGGTCCAGTGTCTCACCACCCTCAGAGTAAAAAATTTATTCCTGAGATCTAATCTGAATCTTTTTTCTTCCAATTTAAAACCGTTTCCCCTTGTCCTATCATTACACCTCCTGGCAAAGAGTCCCTCCCCAGCTCTTCTATAGGCACCCTTCAGGTATTGAAAGGCCGCTATAAGGTCTCCCCGGAGCCTTCTCTTCTCCAGGCTGAACAATCCCAGCTCCCTCAGCCTGTCTTCATAGCAGAGGTGCTCCATCCCTCTGATCATCTTCGTGGCCCTCCACTGCACCTGTTCCAGCCGGTCCATGTCCTTTCTGTGTTGAGGACTCCAAAGCTGGACACACTATTCCAGGTGGGGTCCACGAGTGCAGAGTAGAGGGGCAGAATCACCTCCCGAGACCTGCTGGCCACAAGGTTAACAGTTGCCTGGAGGATTTTGGAGGTGCCTCCTGCCCCTGTCAACCCATTATTATTCCCCTCTATCCTTTTTTTTTTTTAACACTCCCGTGGCTGTTTGGGTTGAGAATTGCACTCTTCTGGCTTGCAGAGCAAAACAGGGCTGCTCACCTCTTCAGATTGCGTGTGGTCTTGGCTGTGCTTGGACCATTTAAGTTTGAGGGATAAGGATGCTCTGTTTCACCCGTGGCAGCTGAAGGATTAATTTGTCAGCAGCGAGGGGAGGGGGGTGTAATTGTTTGAAGTGAAGGTGCGTAACCTCATAGGAGCAGCACGTCTCTTCCCACTCCTGCTCTTGTCACCAAGCCACCGCCGGCACCGCGGTGACAGCAGAGCTTATTGGGATCTCTTATTTGGTTATCTGTCTTCTGTCAGCTGTCACTATATCTACGGAAATCTCCCTTGAAATGGAATTTCTGAGTCCGCTGAGGGATGGACGTGTTTGATGGGAGTGTTATTCTTGTCTCCTCTCCCATCTTCAGTTCTTTCCATGCCCGGGCTACAAGGCCCTTTTTCTTGCCTTTCCATCAGCTCCGTCCAAATCAGAGGAGGCTTCCACTTGTCATCAGAATATCTACATTTAATTCCTCGCTTCCAGAGTCTCTTAGGGCAGGGCTTCACCTCACGTTTTACTCACAGATGGTTGCAGGTGTTTGTGCTGGCCCCTGTTATAGCTTGCTGTGAGCTAATTTTATAACTCCTAATTACTTTTGCTCGTTGTGTGTTCCAGCAATAGTGGGAAGAATGAAAACTCCCGAGTTGTGTCCTGTGGTCTGGAAATCTGTCACCGGGATTTGGAAGAGACTTCGAATCATTGTTTCCCTATCCTTAAAATGGATCTAATTTAAAAATAATAATAAGAAAAAGAAGTCATGGTGCATTTAGTTGTTTAATGTTGGCTTAACCCTAATGTTGACTTAAGGCTTCCATGGAGGGCTTCAAGACCAGGTTGGATGGTGCTTTGAGGAACCTGATCTAGTGGGAGGTGGCTCATGGCAGCGGGTTGGAACTAGATGGTCTTTAAGGTCCCTTCCAGCCCAAACCATTCCATGACTAAAAAAGCCACACATTGACATGAGGAGTACTTTGGAAATCCAGATAGTCCATGCCATCATAAACCTGGCTTTTTTCTCTTCCAAAAGGTAGCCCAGTGCACATTCAGGTTGCCACCTCCCTACGGATCAGGTTTGCCAGGTGAAAATTGGGCACTGGTGGGAAAGGAGTGAATTGTACAAGCAGATGTTGATCAACCCAATCCATTAGTGTCAGGTTTGGCTGTAATTACGTGTAAGTCTATGTAAAACAAAAATATTTTGAAAGCCTTGTGTGTGGGAGGATCCACGTGGGGAAAGAGGTGAACGTGGTGAGATCCTGCAGCAAAAGCCGGCGCAGGGCTCTGAGGAATAATCGGAGTCACCGTCTCAGGGAGGAGATGTAGGTTTATTGCTGTGGTTTGCCTTGACCTGAAGCTTCTGGTTTTGATGCCTGGAGAAGACCTCTGGGGCATGGGAATAACGCAATGCTTCATGTCTCTCTAGGGGCAAAAGGAGCACGTCGTAAAAATGGAGCCAAGAATTTACTCTTCGTTTTAATTACAGTCTGCAGCGTTTGTTGTATTTTGATAGATTGTTATTAGTTCAGTTGCAATAATACTAACACTCACAGTCCAAATTAGGGCAGAAAAGCCTCATTAACAGTAATAAAGTTAACAAGAAAGCTTACAAATGATTGCCCCGTTTCTCTGGTGTGATGCTTGTTTTTCCAGTGTCCCTCTGGGCGGCACTAAGGCTGGTTCAGTCTTCCTTAGCAGAAGGGTTGGGGATGGGGCAACGGGTGTTACAGCAAATTATCAACATCTCAAGATCTTCACCGTGAGGAGTTTGATGTTCTTCCTCTAAGATGTTTTCTCTCTAAGTCTTGTGGCCATGTGGGGCGTCCTCAGTGCTCCGCTCAAGCAGGTTGAACACCAGACCTTGGCCACAGGACATTTGTGATTAGAGGGAGAGCCAGATCCAGCCCATGGCAAGCCCAGAGATGTCCTGAGACCCTGCGGTGTCGGGTTGGTGCCCAGTCTGTGGCCTTTTACTATCAATGGCCAAAATTGCACTTATGGGGCTACAATAGTTGGAAAACATTGGTCTCTACCTCTCAGGTTGGTCGTTGTGGAGTGTTGGAGCCACATGATAAGTACTTAATAATTTATTACTCCCTAATTTCCAGGAGAATATAATTTTTAATTTTTATGTATACACCAGTTAGTGATTTAGATGGTGTTGGCTGATGGCTTTGGTTTGGATTTTACCAGTTTTGGGGGCCATTCATAGAATCATAGAATGGTTAGGGTTGGAAGGAACCTCAAAGATCATCTAGTTCCACCCCCCCTGCCATGGGCAGGGACACCTCCCACCAGACCAGGTTGCTCAAGGCCACATCCAGCCTGGCCTTGAACCCCTCCAGGGATGGGGCAGCCACAACTTCCCTGGGCAACCTGTTCCAGTGTCTCACCACCCTCAGAGTAAAAAAATTCTTCCTGAGATCTAATCTGAATCTTTTTTCTTCCAATTTAAACCCGTTTCCCCTTGTCCTATCACTACCCTTCCTGGCAAAGAGTCCCTCCCCAGCTCTTCTATAGGCACCCTTCAGGTATTGAAAGGCCACTATAAGGTCTCCCCGGAGCCTTCTCTTCTCCAGGCTGAACAATCCCAGCTCCCTCAGCCTGTCTTCATAGCAGAGGTGCTCCATCCCTACTTGAAAGCCTGGCTGCTGGGGCTGATGGAGCAGAGGAGCATCTCCATGCCTTGCGAGGATGTCTGTGTCACGGGCAGTTGGTGGCAGAGGTGTCTTGATCAGAGGTGGCAGAACGTGGTGCATCAGTGATGGAATTTTATCGGAGGAATGTGCTTTTTGTCTGCCTTGATAATTTTGATTATGCAGGGAGGGCTTTTTTACTTAGAGCTGCCTGGTGCTTCCAAGGGGGATGCTTCTATGGCTGGCTAACTGACTTCTTTTTGTTTTATTTTCTAATTGCAGGTTTGAGTCCTCCTCCCATGCTATTAGCATGAGTGCCTATTTGCGTGAGCAGAGAAGGGAACTGTACAGCAGAAGCGGAGAACTTCAAGGTGAGGAAACAGATAACGCGCCGGTTTGGGTAATTCTCTCTTGCAGGAGCTTCAATATCTGGTCCAAGCTACGTGGGGGTATTCATACCTCTCTGCTTTGCCATGCAGGCTGTCTCAATCTCCACTTTTTAAGCTGTTTATTTATTCTCATTTCGTTGGGAAGCAGCTGGGTTTCTCTTTATTCCCTCTGCGTTTTTCAGCTAAAAGTCCAGGTCTTAAAAGATACTCATGAAATGGGAAGAGTCACACCTTGAGGGTTGCTTTTGGATACTTGGAGCTAAAGTCTTCTTCTTTATCAGCAGTTGATTTCCTTGTATCATACACTAAATGTGACACTTACCCTGGGTTGCTCTGGGAGCTTAGCTCAGTCATCTCATATTTGGAGCTGCAGGTTTCTGTTGCGTGGACTAAAGCGACCGATTCTTTGTCTTTTGTACAACGCTCGAAAACAGAGAGTTGCAGAACGTTTGAAAATGGTGAATTTGAAGAGTTGGACTGGTTTATATTCCTTGTGCTGTATATACACCGAGAAGTGCTCTCCTCCTTGAGCACAGCATCATTTCATGGTGTTCTCCTGAATGGTCTAACTCACAAAAAAGTTGGGTTTAGGAGCAAAATCAAGGGAAGATCTGAAGGCTGTCATGATAATGTGTAGAGGGACTAAATTATTTTGTTTCATCTATTCTAGTTTCTTACTGGGCTAATTATAAGAAGAAAATAATGTGTACTCTTCAGATATTACAGTGATGGACAAAGGTTGACTTTCTCCTTGAAATCTTACTCATGATAATTTTCACTTGGCTTTTAATTAAGGTTGTTTTATAATTTATGAGAGAATTTTTGAATTGCTTTGTGTTCCCTTCCTCTTTATGGAACTTACTGTCCTGTGCGACAAGTTAAACCCACAACAGTGTGAAAAGAAGCCTTGAGTGTTCTTGTGGACAGGTTGTTTCATTTAGGTGACCCCAAAGATGATCTTAGTATTGATGATTAAGGATAGAATGATGTGCTCTGTGGTGAATATTCACATACTTCTGGATGGACTGTGAAGGAAGAATCCAAGATCAAGATAGATTGAAGCTGACAATTGCCCACTCTATGATCTAACAGCATATAGGAATAAAATAAAATGGAGGTAGCTGTCTTTTAAGTGATAACATCACCCTTTGCGTGCACTTGGAAGGTGTTTAACTTACAGCTCTTCACCTTCTGAGACGCAGGTTCTCACCTTCAAAATCTGTCACCTCCTCTTGTGCCCAGGATCAACTGAAAGAAATTGCTCAGTTCAGCAGGATGCTCTAAAGCGTACGCTGTTACATCGCACCAAATACAAGTGGGCAGTAGGATTTAAGTAATTATTTCTCCATATTTAATAGCGCTTTGATACAAGCTACATGGGACAAATGTGTGTTCAAAGCCAAGAATTTTGGAGCTGTTGGAAGCACCAATTTTGGAGTGGTGCTGGTGCAGGGAGTCTGCAACACTTGCCTCAAGATTTTCAGGTCCCTTTGGGCTGAGTCCTGTTGCCTTCTTTAGGGCTACAAAGCTCCAACAGGGTAGGTTTAGACTGAACATTAGGAAGGAATTTTTCACAGAAAGAGTGGTCGGGCATTGGAACAGGCTGCCCAGGGAGGTGGTTGAGTCACCGTCCCTGGATGTGTTTAAGAGTCATTTAGATGTGGTGTTGGGGGACATGGTGTAGGGGAGAACTTTGTAGAGTGGGGCTGATGGTTGGACTTGATGATCCCAAGGGTCTTTTCCAACCTAGATGATTCTATGATTCTATGATTCCATGATTAGGGGCCTGGAGCATCTCTCTTACGAGGACAGGCTGAGGGACTTGAGTCTTCTTAGTCTGGAGAAGAGAAGACTGAGGGGGGATCTGATCAATGCCTATCAATACTTAAAGGGTGGGTGTCAGGAGGATGGGGCCAGTCTTTTTTTCAGTGGTGCCCAGTGATAGGACAAGAGGAAATGGGCACAAACTTTGTTATAAGAAGTTCCTTCTAAACATGAGGAGGAACTTCTTTCCTTTGAGGATGGCAGAGCCCTGGAAGAGGCTGCCCAGGGAAGTGCTGGAGTCTCCTTCTCTGGAGACATTCAAAACCCACCTGGACATGATCCTGTGCAACCTGCTCTGGGTGGACCTGCTTTGGCAGGGGGTTGGACTAGATGATCTCCAGAGGTCCCTTCCAACCCCATGTGGTTCTGTGATTCTGTTGTTCCCAGTTGCCTCCACGCCCTGACCAGTTGTCCTTATTGCTTTAAAAAAACAGTAGGAAACAATATTGACTCACTCCACGTCTGAGTCCTCTTCCTTGTGGCTGAGAGCTGGGTATTTCTGTGGTCACCATTTCTGGCGGGCTGGACTGAGGATTTGTTTTCAAATAGCTCCTTTCCTGGGTTCAGAAATGGTTACTGGTGGGCACAGGGTTTGGAACTGGTTACTGGTGGGCACAACTGGTTTCATAGAAGGGGGACTCCTTATTGATACAGGACAGATCTTGAGGCAACGTTTGTCACGAGCGAGAGTTTTTGAATGTTCTCAAGAGAGGAGGATGCAAAAGAGACCTATGGAGACTTCCAGCTGCCGAACCAGCGCGGGGTTGGAAAGAACCAAACCTACGAGCTGACAAAGAAGTAAAGGAATAAATAGAAAAAAGGAAAAATATAGGAATTAGTGTGGATAGGGACAAGATTACATTGCCCTTTCCGGATAACTTGGAAGAGCTTGAATGTGATGCAATAGGTGACAAAAAGTCAATGTAGGGAGTCAGTGGGGACAATAGATGAGATGACTGTGCTGAGGAATCTTTGCAGTTTAACCATCAAGAAAAGTTTCCCTTTGAACTTTATGTTAAAAATGTACTCTCTTCTCTTTCTATTATAAGCTGCTGTTCCCTTTTAGGTAGCTCATTAATCTTCCTGAATCCCAGACCACAGCAAGATCTGCATTTTGATTTTTCTTTTTTTTTTTTTTTTAAACTCCTTTTAAAGAGAAATACAATTTAATTGTTCAATCAGGTTACTGGAAGGCAGGCATGTGACACTCTCTCTTCTCTGAATGCCACACACTTTCTCTTCCCAACAGCCTTATCCACAGGGATGGTTTTTCAGCGGCAGCAGGGGCAGGGTGGCTTGTTAGGAAATCTTTTTTCCTGAAAAGATCTTCAAAGAAACGTATGCATTTAAAAAAAAAAAAAAGAAAAAAAAAGAAAAAGGAAAAAAAAAAGAACTTACAAAAGTTTGGCTCATGCCAACTTTTTGAAATAAGAATTTAATTTAAATAACCTTAAAATGTCTGAAGATCAGAGCGATGCTTTGTCATTAACCTCATTCATTTGGACTGAAATAGTGCAGTGCACAAGGCACACATTATCCCTCAGTGGGAGGACGGGACCTGCTGTAAGTGATTTAGAGATGGAAGGATTAATCCTTGTGTCTTATTCTGCTGAAATCGGAGGAGGAAGGCTTAGGCCATGTATTTTTCCCTTGAAGTTGGACACACAAGTTGTTTGACAATTGTCATTAAAAAGAAGAAAAAAAAAATAAAGCGAGTACGTAACTGAATATTTCCTTCTAAACTAATGTAGAGGTGGTGCCCCGGGTTGTTGTCAGAAGTACAATGTCAGAGGTGGTTTCTTCTGAACAAAACAAGAAATGATCATCATTAAGCTTCTCTTTTTTTTTCTTTTTTTGCCCCAAGAGCCCACCTTGCCCGTGTCCTGGCTGGGGAATTCACATTTTTCTTATTGGAGTCCTCCTGCCATTTGTCAAATAAGGTGTTCTTTTTATAGACTGCCTTAAATAATGGGGGTAGATTTTAAAAATAAGTTTATTTGAACAGCTGAATGACTGAAGCCTTATTCATCTTGGATGTGTCTCCTCTTCTTCCTTAATGCCTTTCCTTCGTCAGCCCAACTTCTCCTGAGGCTCTAAACCTGCTTCATCCCCATCACTTCTTTCTTCCTATCACCCACCAGCGCCTGCTTGTGTCCCCAAACCACCCTTTAAGCAAAAAGTGTGGCTTTTTTACCATGGCTGGATGAAATGAGGTATGTTCTGAGCCAGCAGCCTCGTGGTAGGTCCTACGGCCTGGAGACCTGACATCTCCTCACCACAGCTTTTCCTTCCGTGGAGACACATATTTATCCTGTTTTCCTCTGCCCGGCTGTCTGTTTTCACAATACCTCTAAGAATTTACTGACTTTATGATCTGTCCCTCTGCCACCTTTGGCAGAAATGGGCTCAGCAGCTTGGTTGTTGTGAGGATGGGACAGCCCAGAAGATCACATAACTTATTTTCATCAGAAACTAGGTTAAAAAGTGCTTGACCTCACGGCAGAAATGGTTATTTGTCACTGGTGGAATGAATCCCATGTGTACACCTTATTTCACTCCACTACTGCCTTCAATTCCCAACCGTTTCTTGGGAAAAATATGGAATAAAATGGAAAAATATGGTTTCTTGCCATTGAGGGAGGTCAAGGACTGCAGGAAGTGACAGAATCACAGAATCTTCACGGTTGGAAGGGACCTTTGAGATCATCAAGGGATGGTGTCTGGTAGGAGGGGGGCACTGGGGCTGCACAGGAAGGCAGGGGACGGACGGTGGCTGGTAGGAGGGTGGCACTGGGGCTGCACAGGAAGGCAGGGGACAGTCTACAGGGGCATTGAGGGTGGTTTTTTTTCATGAAAAATGGGATGGGGCAGCCACAGCTTCTCTGGGCAACCTGGGCCAGGCTCTCACCACCCTGACAGCAAAGAATTTCTTCCCCACATTTCATCTAAATCTCCCCTCTTTGACTTTAAAACACTTCCCCCTCGTCCTGTGGCTCCTTCCCGGATCAAGAGTCCCTCCCCATCTCTCCTGGAGCCCCTTGAGGGACTGGAAGGGGCTCCAAGGTCTCCCTGGAGCCTTCTCTTCTCCAGGCTGAACCCCCCCAACTCTCTCATCCTGTCCTTGTAGGAGAGGACAGAATCCCACTAGACCAGGTGTGAATCTGGCTGTGAAACAAAAAATCTATTG